TTCAGGTTCGATTGCTCTGTATCTAATAATTTTTTTCTTTACCTGGTGACCATTTGATTTATTTCAAACCATTTTTAAAAATGAATTTGTTTATTAATTTGAAAATAATATAGGAAGTATCGCAAATAATACATCAGAACATATAAGAGTATAACTCTTCCGACACTCCTGGTCTAGTTCAAGAAGGAGCAGTTCTTCATCAACATCTATTAATGTCGCCCTATTAGGTCGTCTTCGATTTGTTAGTTTCCTTCTTCTTATTTACTCCTTCTCCTTCTCGATTTTAAATTCTTCTCATGATTCTCCTTAGACTATCCATCTAGAAGAACAAAGTAAAAGTAAGTTCACAACTGGATCATGTTAAAACGGCCTTATAAAACCATGCAAAAAATAAGAACGTACATAAAATAAAGAATTAATAGATGTAATAAAAAAATATTGAAAATTCACAACTTGCCATTTTATGTATAAAAAAATTATTTCTTTACGTCATATTGCAAAGTAATTTTCTTATTTTGGGCATTATCTATCAAAATGTAATCAAAATGACGAACATTTTTTCTAATGAATTTATCGAGCTTTTTTTAGTTTTTAAATTTTTATTAGAGAATAAAAAGTAAAAAAATAAAATACTAAAAAAAATAATTAAAAAATTTTCATAAAAATATTGATCATACTTTTTTGGTTCTGGAAATTTAACTGTAATAGAAAAATAAAGGTTTCAATATGTAAAATAATTTGCAAGTTTAACAAAATAATCTTTATACATACATTTTATATTTAAACCAAAATTATCGATATCACCAAGATAATGGTGGGTGATAATATGTACCAGGAACAACAGCTTATTGTAAAACTCCATGCTGTTTCTGATTCTGAGGATTGTAACTCACAATCCTGGCAAGTCCAGAACTGGACGCTCATTTGCACCAACAACACGTTGAGGCGCACCGGCATTTTCACCGCCATTTGCACCATGTGCTTGTGTGCCATTAATTCTTCGGTTTTTCCCCTTCGTCGGCGCCGTGTTTGTTGGATTACGGGGCTCATTAGGGGAGGTGATGATCGTGATCGTGATCGTGAACCGTCGTTGTTCCTCAGGCTAATATTTACTTGTAATTGTTAATGTTGATATTGTTGATACATCTAAATATATGTAAAGTTTAACAGTTTGGGACGATTTCTTTAAAAATTTCAAACTGCAATACGAATAAATTTTACTATACTTACTTTTAAAGTGGAATTTTTTTTTAATTTTTACTTCCTATGTGAGAAGATTAAACAGTTTTTATATGTTTCCTTTATACCAACAAAAAAAAAATTTTTTTTTAAGTAGACAAAAAATCTAGTATATTACATCATTATTCCTATTTTAAATTTTAAAATATGTATATAGCTGAGTTAAACATTATCCGAGATTGTCTCATATATTTATTTTTTGATTTAAGATTAATGAAATATTTATTTTCCTTTCGATCATATTTGACTTGATTGCTTTAAAAGAAATTTCATAAGACAAAAAATCTATAATATTACATATTGTTTATTATTTTTCTATTAGATTCGATCTCATCTAGATAGAAACAAATTCTTGAATCGGTTCAAAAAGTAAAATCGATTTTAGAATCGATTAATATAAATTAAAGAAATTTCAATAGCCATATATAATTCTATTCCATTTTGATCCGATCCGATTTTTATAAAAATGGTTTGAAATAAATCAAATGGTCACCAGGTAAAGAAAAAAATTATTAGATACAGAGCAATCGAACCTGAA